GCATCCAAATTGGAAATGAAGAAGCCAAATTATTCTTGTTTGCAGATGATTGTTATATTTGGAAAAACCTAAAAACTCCACCAAAAAATGATTAGAACTAATAAATTCAGTAAAATTGCAGGGTACTAAATTAACATACTAAAATCAGTAACATTTCTTTCTTTCTTTCTTTTTTTTTTTTTTTGAGGTGGAGTCTCACTCTGTGGCGCAGGCTGGAAAGCAATGGCACACTCTTGGCTCACTGCAACCTCTGCCTCCTAGGTTCAAGCGATCCTCCTGCCTTAACCACCTGAGTAGCTGGGATTACAGGCGCCTGCCACCACACCTGGCTAGTTTTTGTATTTTTAGTACAGACATGGTTTCACCACGTTGGCCAGACTGGTCTTGAACTCCTGACCTCAGGTGATCCGCCAGCCTCGGCCTCCCAAAGTGCTGGGATTACAGGTATGAGCCACTGCACCCGGCCAAATCAGTAGCATTTCTATATGTTAACAGTGAACAGTATGAGAAATAAATCAAGAAAAATGATTCCATTTATAATAGCTACAAATAAAGTAAAATACGTAGGAATAAACCTAACCCAAGAAGTGAAAAGATCTCTATCGTGAAAACTGTAAAGCATTGGTGCAGGAAATTGAAGAAGACACACAAAAAAGGAAAAGATACTCCATGTTCATGGATTGGAAGAATCAATATTGTTAAAATGTCTGTACTACCCAGAGCAATCTACAGGTTCAGTGTAATCCCTATCAAAATACCAATGACATTCTTCACAGAAATAGAAAAAAAAAATCCTGAAATTTATATGGAATCATAAAAGAGAATAGCCAAAGCCATCCTGAGCAAAAAACAAAACTGGAGAAATTGCATTACGTGACTTGAAATTATACTACAATCACTTCCTGGTCTTTTTTGGCTTAGATCAAGTGCAAAGTTTACTACAAAGGTATAACCAACACAGCATGGTACTGGTATAAAAACAGACACGTCGACCAATGGAACAGAATAGAGAACCCAGAAATAAATCCATACATCTACAGTGAACTCATCTTTGAGGCATCCGGAGGATACATGAGGGAAAGGATAGTCTTATTAATGAATGGTGCTGGGAAAATGAGACACCCATATGCAGAAAAATTAAATTAGACTGCTCTCTGTCACCACATACAAAAATCACGTCAAAATAGAGTAAAGACTTATGCCTAAGACTTCAGACTATGAAAATGCTAAAAGAAAACATTGGGGAAACTCTCCAGGACATTGCACTGGGTAATGATTTCTTGAGTAATACTTCATAAACACAGGCACCCAAAGCTAAAATGGACACATGGGGTCACATCAAGTTAAAAAGCTTCTGCACAGCAAAGGAAACAGTCAACAAAATGAAAAGACAACCCACAGAATGGGAGAAAATACTTGCAAATTACCCATCGGACAAGGGATTAATAACCAGAATATATAAGCAGCTCAAGCAACTCTGTAGGAAAAAAAAATCTAATAATCCAATACAAATGGGCAAAAGATTTGAATAGACATTTCTGAAGATATACAGATGACAAACAGGCAATATGAGCAGGTGCTGAACATGAGTTATCATCAGAGAAATGCAAATCAAAACTACAATGAGATATTATCTCACCCTAATTAAAGTGGCTTATATCCAAAAGACAAACAAGAACAAATGCTGGCAGGGATATAGAGAAAAGGGAACCCTTGTACGCTGTTGGTGGGAATATAAATTAGCACAGCCATTATGGAGATTAGCTTGGAGGTTCCTCAAAAAACTAAAAATAGGACTGTCATATGATTCAGCAATCCCACTGGTAGGTATATACCCAGAGGAAAGAATATCAGTATGTTGAAGAAATATGTACATTCTCATGTTTGTTGCAGCACTATTTTCAATAGCCAAGATTTGGAAGCGACCTTAGTGTCCCCCAGCAGATGAACAGGTGAGGGAAATGTAGTATATATACTCAATGGAGTACTGTTCAACCATAAAAAAGAATGGGATACTGTCGTTTGCAACAACATGGATACAACTGGAGGTCATTATGTTAAGTCAGGGACAATGTCATGAGCCAGATCCAGAAAAACAAACTTTGCATGTTCTCACTAATTTGTAGGAGCTAAGCAAATGAAAGCAATTGAACTCATGGAGATAGAGTAGAATGATGGTTATCAGAGACAGGGAAGGATAAAGTGGGGGTGAAGTACAGACAGTTAATGGGTATAAAAATGGAATTAGATAGGGCTGGGTGCAGTGGCTCACGCCTGTAATCCCAGCACTTTGGGAGGCCGAGGCAGGTGGATCATGATGAGGTCAAGAGACCGAGACCATCCTGACCGACATGGTGAAACCCCATCTCTACCAAAACTACAAAAATTAGCTGGGTATGGTGGCATGAGCCTGTAGTCCCTGCTACTCGGGAGGCTGAGGCAGGAGAATCGCTTGAACCTGAAAGGTGAAGGTTGCACTGAGCCAAGATCGCAGCACTGCACTCCAGCCTAGCGCCAGAGCAAGATCCGTCTCAAAAAAAAAAAAAGAGTTAGATAGAATGTATAAAATCTAGTACTTGACAGCATTACAGGATGACTACAGTCAATTTATTGTCCATTTAAAAATAACAAAGTATAATTGGATTGTTTGTAACACAATGGATAAATGCATACTCCATTTACTCTGATGTGATTATTACACATAGTATGCCTGTGTGAAAATCGCTCATATATACATACATACATACCCATATATACATACAACTAGTGTGTATCCACAGAAGTTTAAAAAAAAAAAAGATGGGCAAACATCTCTTTTAATTAAAAATGGCTTTTTTTTTTTTTTTTTTTAAAAAAAAAAAGATGGGCAAACATCTCTTTTAATTAAAAATGGCTTTTTTTTTTTTTTTTTTTGCCAGACAAGGGGGCTTCTGTTGCATACACAGTTTTCAGGATGGATGCCTTCCCCCAGTGTCTGAAATGCCCCCTTTTCCTGTTCTGGGCCTTTTCTGACTCACAAATGTTGACAAGCAAAGGTGTTTTTGATTTTGATGTTCACAGTTATTATAATTATTATAAATTTGGCCAGGAGTCCCTATCAGTCTTTGAACAGCTGCTTTTTTTTTTTTTTTTTGAGATAAAGTCTTACTCTGTCACCCAGGCTGGAGTGCAGTGGCACAGTCTTGGCCCACTGCAACCTCCGCCTCCTGGGTTCAAGCTATTCTCCTGCCTCAGCCTCCAGAGTAGCTGGGATTATGGGCATCTGCCACCATGCCCAACTAATTTTTGTAGTTTTAGAAGAGACGAGGTTTCACCATGTTGGCTGGTCTTGAACTCCTGACCTCAAGTGATCTGCCCGCCTCAGCCTCCCGTAGTGCTACGATTATAGGCGTGAGCTACCGCACCTGGCCATGAGTAGCTTTTTCTTTGAAGAAACAAGATATTCCAGACTCATCTTTGTGTGCCCCGGCCCTTGAATCTCATTTTCCCCAAGAGTCCTAGCTTCTTTTATTGGGAAATGGTACTCAGAGACCAAAATCTGGGTGCCTGAGGTCAGGTTGCCATTGATTCTGGTCCTTCCAAAAAACAGAGTAAGCAAACATACGCAAAAATAAAGTTCATAGATTTCCAATTTAAGTTGTGTTTCAAAATTTCTTTGATAGTTTTCCTCTTTTATACTGAAAACCTTAATTATTATTATTATTATTGTTTTGAGATAGAGTCTCGCTCTGTTTGCCCAGGCTGGAGTGCATTGGCACAATCTCGGCTCACTGAAACCTCTGCTTCCTGGGTTCGTGCTATTCTGCTTCAGCCTCCCGAGGGACTGGGATTACAGGCATATACCAGCACACCTGGCTAATTTTTTCTATTCTTAGTAGAGGTGGGGTTTCACCATGTTGGCCAGGCTGGTCATGAACTCCTGACCTCAAGTGATTTACCTACCTTGGTCTCCCAAATGCTGGGATTACAGGTGTTAGCCACCATGACTGGCCTAAAGTCTTAATTTCTAATAACATTTAATACTTTATCATAAACATGTTTTATTGTATTTACATTGCTTTATTGTGCAACATGAAGTAGTTCTAAAATTGTGACAATATTATCAATACCAATAAATATAAGATTTTATTTTTCATTATAGTATATTCTATTAATTATGTATAGTTCAAAAGTCCCTTGACATACTTTTCTTTGTATATGCGTGGGTTAATTTGCTTGTTGCCAGTTGTAGGTTTTGCTTTTTTATAATTTAATTTTAATTTTTGAGGATGAAAGTCATGTATATTTCAGAAGTAAAGACACAAAGTATACTTAAAATGTTGCTTTTTCTGGTCCTGCTGCCTTTGCCCATATCCCCTCCCCATTTCCTTACAGGTAGTCATTGATACTTGCTTTTGGTTTATCTTTTTAGAGCACATGCATGTGTGTTTGTTTGTGTGTGTCTTTCTTTTCTTTTTTTTTTGAGACCGAGTCTTGTTCTTGTCACTGAGGCTGAGTGCAGTGGCATGATCTCAGCGTACTGCAACCTCCACCTCCTGGGTTCAAGCGATTCTCCTGCCTCAGCCTCCTGAGTAGCTGGGATTACAGGCGCATGCCACCATACCTGGCTAATTCTTTTGTATTTTTAGTAGAGATGGGGTTTCACCGTGTTGGCCAGGCTGGTCTCAAATTCCTCATCTCAGGTGATCTGCCCCTCTTGGCCTCCTGTAAGTGCTGGGATTACAGGCATGAGCGACTTCGCCGGACCACGTGTCTTTTTTCTTGTATGTTACACAAGAGGTAGCCTAGTATTGACACTATTATGCACCTTTTCACTTTTATTTCTTGGATGACTTTCATGAAATGTAAAATGATTAAGTCACTAATTTAGTAAATCATTGATTTTATTACTGAGTGATTGAATACATAAGAGAGATTGAGATTTTTTTCCCATACCATTCTGTAAAAATTGCAATGTGAGTGTGAGCACTCTGTAAGCTTATCTCGTTTATCATTGCCAGCTTGCATTCACAAGAGATGGGCTCTGTGGTCTGTGGAACGAAATGGTTAAAGATGGAGAAATTGTATACACTGGAACAGAATCAACCCAGAACGGAGAGCTTCCTCCTAGAAAAGGTAAGGGCCTTTAACTAGTGTTTTTTATTTTGTAAAGACCATTATAAAATGCATTTTATAGAAATTTTGTAATGCGCTCCAGGAATAGGAGCTTTGAGCTTAACTCTTTGAAGTTTTGCTTTTTACTTTGGAGATTGTTGTCTAAAATGGTAGTTAATACAAGCTGCCCGGATTTTATTGTTTTATGTGAATTGAAGGCATTTTTATTGCAAAACCGTCTTGCTGCATTTGTGGTGTTCTTTGGGAGTATATTAAACACTTTTTGGAAGCCTTTGCCCTGCAACGAAATGCCACTGAACGATCTTATTTAGTATTGTAGTTTTGAAAGCTCAGTAAGACTATCATTAGGTTGTTCATAACTGTGGCTGTGTTTCAGAATCCCCATTGAGGTTTAAAAAAATGGGTGCTTGTATACACCCTACACTTGTCGAATTGGAAAAGATGCTTGGTTGAGACCCGTTGTCGAAGCGGGAAAGATGCTTGGTTGAGACCCGTTGTCGAAGCGGGAAAGATGCTTGGTTGAGACCCGTTGTTGAAGC